ATTTGGAGACTCAACTCTCATCCAGATGTTCTCTTTCAGCTCTATGTTTAACTTCTTTCTTTTTCAGGTCAGCCCTCGTTTGTCCGTTGGATCACGCATCAATTCCAACGTCTTCGTACTGGCTTTTGTCGTCAGCGTCACTNGCGTCACTCTAAGCATCACGCTCTGTTCACATCTATGGCGAATCCTCACACACCGGACAGTGGGGTTTGTGTACCCTCTCATCAGAAATCCCGTTCGGTTCCTGTATCAACAGATGTCAGTTGGAATCAGTCTCCGCGTACACCGGACATCAGACTTTCGACTGCCCCAGATACTGATCCACCGTCAGCCTTATTGAAGACGCCGAACAGAATATGTCATTCAAATGTGGGTAGTTTAAGACGGTGTTTCAGCCTAGCTGAAGATGCCAAAGAGGGTCTGTCCGCGGAACATCCGTCTAACACACACTATGATATCCCACACACCACACCTTTGATGACCGATCCGACCCACAATAAGGTGGCATTTGCCATGAATCGATCTTCAGTTCCGGCACCCGGAACTGCACAATGGGTATCGCATCAAGATCTAGCCACTAGCCCATCTTATTTGTCACTCGTGGCCAGACCGATCTCACGTCTGGATCCGCAAATGAATGAGCATACGCGCATGCCAAGCCAATCCACTTCGAGACTAGCTATACCGAACAGAGAGGCAACTGTTCAGCCTTGGCCATGTGGTAGAGTGCAACGTCACAGCGTATTTACCACTCCGACTTCAATTACGCAACCGCCACCAAAACAGCGACCAGCCACTCGAGATAGTGGGTTCGCAGAATCCGATTGCACTAATCCGCCCAGATTCCGACACTTGGATCGACCGGTCGGATATTCTGTCTCACCATTATCTAAATCTTCCGATGGTGGTGGTCTGCTCAGTCCGGAATCGCACTCTGCCCTGTGGTTCAGTGCGTCGCCACAGTCCGGTGCAAACGTATGGTGGACTACCGGTTTTGAGCATGCCGTGCCCTCCGTCATGATTTCCAATCCATCCTTGTCTAGACCGATGGAACAGACAACGGTTCAGCCGACCCGATTGGTTTCCTATCCGCTAGTCAGTGGCCAGGTTATGGGCAAATGACGTTTTTGCGTCGGTGAATCGATCAAATTGTGATATCTTTTTTTCCCATTTCCCTCCCTGACTAGAAGAAAACCCATTCCCCAATTCGCAAACAGCCCACTCACTCACACAAAGCGCCTTAATTTTAGCAATTTTTTCCACAAAGGATATTTTCATTTCGTTGGAGTCGGATTCAACTAACTTATTTGGCAAATACTCGACCCGATGTAGTGTTTCAACAACAACAACATCATTGACGAATTTTCAGCGCTCACATCCATATTTATCCGTAGATTTGGGTCATTGCATTTACTTAGCCTTATACTATCCGACCCCTTCTCGACCCTAGCTATCAACTTGTGTCCGTTCGCTGTTGACGTGGGCATTCTTCGCTCAGCTGACTTTCATCTACACCCGCGTTTCAACACCTGTCGCATATCCAATCTGGCTTTCACCCTTCGTGATACCCACCCACCCCTTAACACAGACAAACGTATTTTCAACACACAATCCCTCCTCTTTCCAGCACACATGTTTTCTGCGCCCTGCTCACCATTTTTATGACCCATATCACGCTCCCGCTTATCCGAGGTGCCTATTCTACCAGTTTGTGTACAGTTGCAGATGTCGTCACATCTTGTTTCTTTGTTTCTTTAATGATATTTCGGATACGGGATGGGAGATCCGCGTTTCCGGTGTTTGCGTCTTATATGAATCCGTAGTATGCGTCAGTGGCTGTGATCTGAATGTGTTGGGAAGATCCACTCAAATTATCGCGGCACGTGTTTATGCTTTCTCGGTCCGTTTTGCGCAATGTTTATCGTTTGCTGTGTAGCTTGCGGTTTCCCACTTTTCAGTCACTAATTCCAGTATGCAAGACACGTGTCAACAGAGGGGCTCATGTGGGAACCCTTGCGCTTTTTTAACGATCCTTTGAGTGTCCGGGGTGAACAAATCACGGATTTTTGTCCGTATGCATTTGCAGCGGGCCCTGACCAGGCATTAGTCACCCTGTTAAGGAAAAGTTTTACCCGGGGGGTTGTGTGTGAATTGCTACATTTGTGAGTTAATAGACACAACTGACCAGGTTGTTTGCGAATTGCGTCTTGTGGTCATTTTAAACACATATCTATGTGCATCAATCGAATGCACTGTTCTTGAAGAAGATGGCGGTGTGATTTTATCTCGTCAGACATTGTTTTGCGTGTTCATCTGATGTCACAATGCCCCTTTCATGCACTCGTCATTGGGGTTTGACGGAATTGCTTATTCTGTACTCATTCTGATCGGTTATTCGTTTGATTAATCACCGTGTTAGTTTCCTGGGTACCCTCAGGTTAAGCGGACCTGAAAGCTACCAGGCGCGACCCAGGGTTGTGGATGAATGAATACTGTAACGATTGTAGTAGTAGCAGTAGTACGCACAGAATTCGGAATACAAACTACGCAGTACAAATCAAGGATTAGCTATCACGGACTGGATTACGGAAGCACTGGACCGCAATGGCACGAGCTCACAATATCCCAGATGAACGAGACGCGAGGAAAAGGCCACAGGAATAGTAGTACGTAGTTCATTTATTGAAAGAAATGAGGGCGATTAAATAATATGTACAAAAGAAGATTATTGGTTATCTAGTCTTCCACCGATCGGATTGCAATACTGCTTGCATAATTCTGCTTCTGAGTGCACTGTCTTGGATTGGCTGGCACGATCTGCCTATAGCGTGTATTCAGAGACCCTACGCGTGTCATGGACGTCACCTTTCAAATTTGATTGATCATATTTATCCGAAAAGTGACACGCCGCTCCAGGGTAGGCGTCATCTCGTGAGCCTGAATCACCACAGATACCTTCACCGAAGAAGGTTAGCTGTGAATAATTTGTGACATACTGTAACAAATAAGCAGTGGCGAACAAACAGCGGCGGCACTACCAGGGCGTGGTGAGTGTCAGGCTGGTCATCTGGTTCCTGTTTAGAAGCCGCATGAGCCCAATGACGGGGACGTGACAGGTCAATGTGACTGAACTTTTAAAACTGAAATCATTGACTCCCCCACCCCCCCGTCAATTCCGAGGCGAGGGATTAATTCTTGCTGCCTTGCAGTTCTCACTTGGTCGTACAAAGGTTAGAGGTGCGCCCTCAAAATAAAAAAACACCGAGTGACGTTGGGGACGTCCCTCGTACCAAACTCCCAAGGAACTTCATGATCACAATCATGTCTGGAGTCGGCTTATTTTTCCCGAAGTGCCAGCCGCAGTAAAGTAAGTACCGCATTAGCTTAACAATTATTTTATATATTGTTCCCAATGGGAACAGATTCTTTACAATGGCCTTAGTCGTGTTCATCCTGTGGCGAGCCCGACCCATGGTAAATAATTATGCGCAGCCACTTCTTGAGCATTTTTATGAATTCTCATTTCTACTCGCAAATGCAGGCGTGAATGAATTCTCAATTTCAGGGGCATTTATCGCACAATGCGTAAGATAAACCCCAGGGACTTGAAAAAGTAGATGCTTTCAAACATTTATATCCGCTTGGTTATTTGTCGAGAAAGTAACGATCAAAAACGAGACATTGTCAAACAAATTTATCATGTCACAATTTTACTACCCAGATTTACTGAAAGAATCTATCGTATTGCATTTTTCGAGTCGCATTCGATGACGTCCAGGTGCTGCTGTCACTGTGTATTGGCCTGTGTCTGCCTGCATTTGAATGAAATAGGGTCTGGACGATCATCTTCGCGTACAGTTGATCAAGTAATGGAATTCACGTCGGACTAAGGGGAGTTTGGCGATTTGATTACATCAGCAAAAATGAAGTGCCATTCAACTGCTTTATTTTGCTTTCAAGAATGGAGAAAGTGAGTAGACCAATTCGTGCTCACATCCGAATAGACCAGCTGCGAGAACCAGTCACATGGTAACCAAGAGTCGACTGTCGCGTCCGAGAAATGGTTGAAAGTGAACGAACAGGTGAAGGCTTCGAAACAGCCGCGCTCTTATCTCGACACACAAATACCCCGGGGGACTTTATTCATCCTAATCGAACCCGATCGGATATGTCTCCTCACTGAGTCATGGAGACATCTAAGTTTAGATGTCAAAATAAAATACCATATCGCGATACTGCATGATTTATGTCTTGGGACAATTACGCTGCATCCAGACGTGGTGCATACCGCAGAAAATGCAATGTTTATATAGGGCTTTAGCATAGTAACAAGGTAAAGCAAAATATATCAAAACATCAAAGGGGGGGATAAAACGACTAATATAAAGTTCTTTTTTATTTACAGACGGGAGCTCCGATCGACTTATATCAATCACTTCAGCAAATCTTGTGATCTGTGAATTGTAGATAACCCAAAATGCTGTGCTTCGGTCAATCTGGTGTTGCGTCGTCAGCAGATGTCAAGCAATGGCTGAGGACAGGATCTTGTAGTTTCGATCGTCGTGTCTATGCCGCGGACTTATCCTCGATCGAGTCATCCAAATGCGGTCCCCACCGCTCGATTGTGTAATTGTCGCTAGAACATACGATTTGGCCGCCCCCAGAAATGTCTACCGGACAACTGGGATACCCACACCTACACAACAAACGAACGTCTGCCTTTGTACACCAACTCAAGCAATGAACCCTCTCGGAAGAACAGTTTGATCCTTTAGTCTTCTGGAAAAGATTTATTGATACTAATCGAACACATAAAGATCCCTACAATGACCAAGCCAGTCGTTCAACTGAAAATTCTACTCAGCTGTTTTTTTCTCTTAATGAATCACCTGGTACATTATCAGCGCTCTACTAACACTCTAGGATTAATCACTTCAGGGAACATTCCTTAAAAATATTGCTCCAAAAGTATCGGCTGAACTCCACCGGCGTCGTGGTTTCAACTGTAGGGTACGTTATATTCCTGGAATACTTCCAACTCAAATCGAGCGTTTCAGCACTCGTAAATGAACGTTATAATTTGTAGTTTCATTGAATAGTTCCATCATGAAATTAGGAAAACTAGCGAACAAGGCGTCTCTGATAACTTCTTTCTCTAGCCATTACAATTTAACATACGTTCCAACATTTTCAAACGATCTGATGTGATGAATATGATTGGTTGGTTGTGATATGTGATTTAGAAATGAAAGTGATGATTTTTTGTTGTTTGTCCATATCGATGGAGTGAGCTATTCCATTTCCAGTTTGCGCCCCTGGATCATGCCAAAGATCACGCTCGTTTCGGTCGGCTGTGTCAGGTTGAGGTCAGGGTAGGCGAAGTGACTGAACGAATAGCTTTTGAGAAAAAAGGCTGAAGCAATGTGCCGTTGATGAACAGCTTTGGTTGCGTTTTGCTGGTACTTTGTGCACACCTTGAATGCGCCCTCGTTTGTTTGATGGCCGTTGTCCGCAATGTGACTACTGCATTTTGTAATTGATACTCTTTATACCTGTTATAATTCCAGGAGGCGGTGCTGGTCGAGGATATTCATCCATTGAGGACTACAGATGGGAGGTCAGTAATTTAGTATGCATAACACAAAATCCTAATCAGAAACGTACTATCGCAGTTCCTGTCCACACGCTTGTGAAGTGCCACTTCACAAGCGCTGACGATGATGTCGCCTCGGCTGGTGATGAAACATTTGCAAACAAATTGTCAAGCTCGGTGAACAGACGAAATGAAATTCAGTTCATCCGAGCTACGAGAACCAATTTTACACATTTTGTCCACATAAGAATATATATCCTTGATTGCAAAGTTCAGACACGGGGGGGGGGGCATGATGGAGCGAGGGTTGACACCATCCGGGACTTCGTTAGATTGCAATTCAAATCAGGATTAAATCGAAATAGCACATGCCAAAATGGTTAATTTCTACAGACCCTACTGCGTGAAACAGGAACAAACTGCTTTTCAATGTGAAT